CTGCATCAGTAATGACAAAAAAGCAGATGAGAAAGAGGTTGGGGAGGCTGAACTGACAATATTTGGCAGCTGACTGGACATGCAGAGCGAGGGAGAAAAAGAAATTGAAAGGAGGATCCTGAGGTTGGGAGCCTAGATGACTGGAAGAATCATGGTGCCCTCAACAAAAACATGGACATTTAGAAGGGGAGTAGGGTGTTGGGGAATGAAAATGGGTTTTGCTTTGAACATGCTGAATTGGAGATAACTAAGGGTGAATGAAGTAAAAATGTCCATTAAGCTATTGGTGATGTAGGACCAATGATCAGGAGAGAGGCTGGGGCTATATAGGAAAAATCTGGAAATCATCTTCACAGAGATGATAATTAAACTTATGAGACCTGATGAAGGCACTAAGAAAGTAGGAATATAAAGGGCTCAGAACAGGACCATGTTGTATACCTACAATTAGGGGGTGAAATATGGATGATGAACCAACAAAGGACACTGAGAAGTGATGAAAAGGTGTGGGAGGACAGATAAAAACCCACAGGAAAGTGTATCTATAAGTAAAGGGTGCTCAAGAGTGTCAAATACTGCAGTGGTCAACAACGATGACAATTGAGAAAAGGTTATCAGATTTGGCGATTACATAATCATTCTAACCTTGAAAAGAGGATTTCACTTGAGTGATAGAGTTGGAAGTCAGACTGCAAAGCTTTGTGAAGCAAGTGACAGAAGTGAGTGGGATACTGCATTGTAAAGTGGATTTCCCATTACTGAAGCTGTTCAGGCAGAAACTGGATATCCTTTTCTGGAGGATATACAGAAGATATTTATGCTTCACATACAGATTGGATTCGATGACACGTAAGATACCATCTCACTTTATACTTTTTGCTATAATATCTTATGTTCTAAGTTCATTTCAATGCCAACATCCTATGGTTCAATAATCTCTGTTTGAAAGCCCTTTCCAGGTCTAACCTTCTGTGTGAGTTCTCTTCCATATCCATCATTGTCATCATCATCATCATCATCATCATCATCATTGAATTTATATGGCATTTTAAGGTTTGCAAAATACTTTAAAGATATTATCTCACTCGATCCTCACAACAACCACTTTAGGTGGCTGCTATTATTACCTCATTTTATGGATGAGTAAACTGAGGATGAGAGTTATTAAGTGACTTTCCTAAGGTTCCACAGCTAGTAAGAGTGGAAGGCAGAATTTGAAGTCAGGTCTTTCTGATTCAAAGTCCAGTGCTCTATCTGCTCTGTCACCTATATTTATTCCCTTACAATTTAAGATTGAATGAGCTTATGATTACAGTTGAGGACATTTATGCTGGGATATTTGTTTCAAAAAGATGGGTTAGTTTTATTTAGGAGAGCTCATGATATCGACAGGCATCATGGTATATGAGTGAAGCACGGTATAGTAGAGTCAGAAATCCAGGCTCACTTACAAGTTATATGGACAAATAATTTGCTCTTCTATAACCTTTAGTTTCTGAATCTGCAAAACGGAGATCCTAAAATTTGCAATTGCCTAGCTCACTAAGTTGTTGTTATGAAAAGTGCTTTATAAATGATAAAGTGTTATATAAATGTGATCTATAATTATTAATACAAAGAGGGTAAAGCCAGAAAGTGTCTCTTTCAGCTCATTTATTCTCTCTAGGAGGAGATTTTGGGAAATTTTAGGAGTATTCAAGAAACTGTCCTCCCTCCCTACTCTCTACTCCCAAAAGTTTAGACCTCTCACCCGCAGCTCTGTCTTTAAAACTGAAGGTGACATGATTTGCAGATGAACAATTAAATTATTTGTCTCTTCCTGCCCCTTCTAGCCATTAAAAAATACCTCAGTCTTAACTAGTTAATCTCTTACACCCATCAGAGCTGCACACACGCTGCTACTCCAAGAGTTGCCTGGCAACAGGCAGGAGGCGTGTCAGAGAGCAAGAAAGGCCCAAATAAATGAACGGAAGTCTGGGCAACCGCTTGACATGGATAAAGGAGTTTTTTTTTTTTTACCCCACATTGGGCTGCCAGGAGGGTTTTAGATTTGTCATTTGTATGGAGAAGAAAGAAGTTGGCTCTACTTATATTTTCCTGGGTTCCACACCTGATGTTCCTCTGAGTAACCCATAAATAGACAATGCACACTCATTATTTGGAAATGCCCTCCCCTCTACCAGACTGAAGAAACACACAAGTTTCTCGATAGGATGGCAATTGTTTGTTTTGGCCAATACATATTCATACAATGTCTACATTTGTAAATTCATAGAACTTATTGACTGTTAGAGAAGAAAAGATTTCAGAACACAGATTAATAAAATACAAGGCAAGAATGGATTTTAGGACATGCCACATAAGAACACAAAATGGTGGAATTGGTAGGCACACTTGAACACAGAATTATTGAGCTTGAAGCCACATTGAAATAAAAAGAGAAGTCTTTGGCCTTTAGGTTCCTTGTTTATAAATGGAGGGCACTGGACTAAATATATATCAAAGAACTAACATCAATAGTGCCCTTGTCTCTAAATGATTCCCAGATAGAAACTACCAAGACATTGGATTGGAGATATGATTGCAAATGTCTAGGAAGTAAAGCAATGATAGGTGGAGATAAAATTGAAACCTGACTCCTCTATAAAAGTGGAAACCGGAGGGCAACCTTGGGTCTTTCAGTCTTGGTTTACTGGATCTCTTATTTGCCCACGATAGGCGTCCCTAAGATTTTAAATGCTGTGTTGCTGTGATGATGAGATTTTATGAAAATACTTCATAAACCCCAATGGCTGACTTAAGCCTCTGCCAGGCAAGGTCAGGCCTGCTCATTAGTTGTGAATCCATATGCACCAGGGTAAACACTTCATCCCTAATAACACAAAAGGGCCACTAGAATGGTTCCTGAATTATCTGTTTGACTGGTAGTTGTCTACATCCTAACCACCAGGTGGAACAAGCAATGCAGCCTCCATGGTTTCTCTTTCACTTAGATGCACATAAATGGTTCCATTTATGGGACAATAAGAAGTGTCCTAGGCCAGCTCTGATCAGCATCTATCACTCTACCATGTCAGTTTTTATCACTGCTGTCCTGATTTCTAGGCCTCCCACAACATGACTCCAACTTAACTTCCTAACATTATCTCATTTTATTCAACTTTACAGGCACTAGCCTCCTGCCCATCTTAACAAAAGAGTTTCCTCAGTTCACTGTCTTTTCTCATCTTCAGACCTTTACTCACACCATCCCCTATACTTGAAATCCTCCATTTCTCATTCCTCAGTGTTAAAATCCCGCCTATCTTTTAAGGCCTAGACTCGATGACGTGCTCCAAGAAGCCTTTGCTGGTGATTTAAATATTATCTTGCATTGCAGTGATTTGTGCACAGGCTTGTATCAGGTTCCTCCCACCAAAATGATTTTGCAGTTATGTCATTATAACAAAACCCTGTTGTAATGACGTTACTCGTAATGTCGTTAAATCAAATGCCTATGTTGTCTATCAAAAAAATGATAACTTTTTGATCATGGAATTTAAGACCCTCCAAAATATTATTATAACATTTCTAGCGTCATCCTATACTACTTTCCTCATATCTTCTATCAATCTAAGCTGGATTGCTCTCTATTCCTATTCTCATCTTGTCTTTAATCTCACTACTCTGCATGTTTGAAATCAGCACTTTTCTTTCCTCATCATTGCCCCTTTCCCCGAACTTCATTGATTGATACATTTCACTTCTTTTAAAGCCCACCTTAGCTGCCACATCTTTCACAAAGCCTGCTAGTCCCACAATGAAAGTGATCTACCTGTGCTCAAATTTCCCAGAACACTTGGACCAGAATTCTTTTACAATTCTCTTACTCTCCTTTGTATCATAGTTATGTGTGTTCTTGCCCTTTCCCCTTATTAAAATATAAACACATTGAGAGTAGGGCCTATGTTCTATCTTTTTAATTCTAGCACTTAACATAGTGCTTTGTACATAATAAGTGCTTAACTGATGTTAGTTGAATTCATTTCTAAAAATTCCTTTTTGTGGAACTAATTGTCTTCTAAAATGTTTCAATCAAAATAATATTTTCTCAGAAATCAGTTAAGGAAGTAAGATGGGCAATAGTTGATTTATATATTTTTCCCCAAACTAGATTATAATTTCTTCAATGGGAGAATTTGGCTTAGTGTATGTAGTTTGGTACTAGTTTTATCTCTTTGTATCTTCTTTAGTTCCTAACATAATGTGCTACACAAATAAGGAAGGAGTTTAGTAAATAAACATGGTGGAATTGAAATTATTTAAGAAACAATCAATTTATACTTTATACATGTATCTTAAACAGGCAATGGGAATGGATAATAACTCAGGCACAGAACTGAATAGGATAAAGAGGCCAGTCTGAATTGTATTTGGGAAAATGCAGTGTGCTTTCCACGATCTCAAATGGCTTGATGCCACAAAAGCCCTTCTCTTAAACAATAACATTCTCCCATTGATGCTATATGGCTATGAATACTGGAACACCACAGTCTGGGAAGAATTAACATTACAAATGATGCAAAGGGAAATAGACAGATGACCAATGACAACTTGCAGTGAAACATGGAATAAAAGAGTGGGTCATAGAAGGGCAAAAAAAGATAGTGGAGCTCTACTTGATCCCAGAAGATACTAAAAGAATGAGAGGAAGTTCTCCAATGGATTGGAGGTATCTAAGATGGAGTATTTATAGAAAAACATCAAGAAAAAGGTTACAGGAGAGTTGCAGTCTGAACAAGAGGAAGGAGTCCCAACACCAGAGAAATCATACATCCATCAAAGAACCAAAGTATGTGACAGAAAGCTCTTACTCCTTAGCTCAGAAAATAGTATCCTTAATTTCTATCTTTATTAAAGGGTCAGGGGGATTCTGGGAATTTCCCATGACCCCTATCACAAGTGAGTCTTTTAATCATGACTGAATGTGATAATATAGACTATGTCAAGAGGCTACTTACAGGTTCAATCTTCAATGCATTCCTGTAACTTCCAAAAAAAGCAGCCTGTGCCTTTAGAAAGGCTCTGGCAACACCATCCCCAGTTGTGGTGGAGACCTTCTTTAGCCTGTTCTTCAATGAAGAAACCTGTCAGTAAAGAAAAAGGAGGTATAAGTCAGTTGGTCAAAGCCTCGATCAAAAACCCTGGGTGACTGACAATTTCTTAGTGATATTCTGAAAGATCAAAGGTATCATTGAAGAGGTAGATTCTACACAATTCATAGGATTGTAGAAAGTCTTAGCATATAGCTAAGACCTTAGCACATAGAATGTTGGAGCTAGAAGAAACTGAAGTCAGTCAACAAGCACTTATTAAGTGCTTACTATGTGTCAGACATTGTGCTAAATGCTGGGGATACAAAAGAAAGGCAAAAAAAACAGCTCCTGCCCTCAAGGAGCTTATATTCTTATTGGGTCATCTGATCTGACTCCTTCATTAAACAGTTGAAGCAAGGGAGGCCCACAGAACTTAAATGAATTAAGGTCACTTGTGCATTAAGTAGCAGACCTTGAGATACTTCCATAAAGACTATTCTGTCTTAGGAGAGCCATGCTGAAATGAGATTTCAGGTCCCTATCTATTGGTTCCTCTCATATTGCCCTCAAATATGCTTAAGTTTCTCCAGTCTTAAAAAAAAAACCTCAATTTTCTTCCCCCAAAGTCACTAGACTTTACTACCCCCACAAACTATTGTCCTGTATCTTTCCTCTCTTGCTCAGCTAAACTCTTTGAAAAAACTGTCTACACTCAATGCCTCCACTTCCCTCCTCTTACTCACTCTTCAACCCTCTTCCATCTGGTTTCCAAGCTCATCACCCAATTGAAATGACTCTTTCCAAAGTTACCAATGCTCTCTTAACTGCCAAATATGATGGTTTTTTCTCAGGCCTTATCTTTTTTGATCTCTCCACTGCATTGGATACTGTTGACCGCACAGTTGAGGAGAGGATGCTTCCTGTCTACTTTCTCTTCCTCTCTGGGTTTTTGTGCCATTACTATCTTCTGGTTCTTCTGTTACCTGTCTGAACATCTTCAGTTTCCCTTGCTGGCCTATTATTCATATTATATCCCCTCATTGTAGGTGTTCCCCGAGGACCTGTTCTAGGCCTTCTCTTCTCTTTTTTGGTAAGCTCATCATCTTGAATTAAACTACCTTGCATTTATTCTCTAATACTTAACTCAGATATGCTCTTATACATACTTCTTGTCTCCCACATAAAAATATAAGTTCTTTTAAGTTTGTGATTGTTTAATTTTTATTCTGGTATTACTTGTACCTAGTAGGCATCTAATAAATTTTTGTTGATTTATTAATGGGCCTACTACATGGCTAAATTCTGTCACAGCTTTACCTGTTTCATCTATAGTAATAACAAGAGCACCTATTTCTATAATGCTGTATAGTTTTCTGGTATTATCCTCACATTCCTTTTTTTTTTTTTTTTTTTGCTTTTGGGTGAGGAAATTGGGATTAAGTGACTTGCCTAGGGTCACACAGCTAGTTAAGTGTCAAGTGTCTGAGGCCAGATTTGAACTCAGGTCCTCCTGACTCCAAGGTTGAAGCTCTATGCACTGTACCACCTAGCTCCTTAGAGGGTAAGTAGTACAGCAGTCATTATTCCAATTTGAGGTAGAAAAAGGGACCTAAGCACATAGACAAAGAAAGGCTTTACCTTAAAGATCATTTAGTTCCACTTACTCATTTCATTGATGAGGAAACTGAGACTCGAGATTTTTAAGTCTAAAAATCTAATATTCTACCTCTAAATCTAGGATGCCATGTAATGCTACATGGATAGAGATCAAGTTTCAACTAAGACTGTGTTGGTAAATGCTGAATGGAATGTCTTGTCGATCTTGCCAATATGATTAACCTAGGCAAACAGAAGTTGACAACAGCAAAGAAGACAGGAAGAGTCCTAGGAATAAGATGTGGAATCTGGCTTGAATGGAAGGAGATCATGCTACTATTTGTGATACTTCTAGAGAAAATGGCAACCATACCATGTGGTTTTATTGGTAGAGGCTCTGAACTGAAGATGGGCTTCACATAGACAGACATCCAGGTTGAATAAGAAAAATATCCTTCTTACATGCAAGGCATGCTGGATCACTGATTTAGAGCTATAAGACAACTTAGTTAGAAGACCACCTAGTTGGACTCCCTGATTTTGTTTTTTATTATTTCCATTTTTAATTTAAACCCTTAATTTCCCACCAGAATGAAAAATTATCAAGAACTCTAATTTTCTTACTAGGAATACTTTGAATATCTTTTTAAAAATTAAAAGTGAATCTTTTTTCATTTATGGTTAGGCAGGTTGGCAGGAATATGATACTCTGAGCCCTACAGCAATGTATTAGTGACCAGTGAAGCACAATCATTAAACAACAAAACGGATTTTATCTCTAAGCCTAGATTAGATGTCATGAAATGAAATAAAGGAGCTACTAAAATCTGAAGGAAAAGTTGAAGAACCTGAAGTTACTTAGAGCAAACTCCTGAAATTATATATAAAAATGAAATAAATGTAAAAACCATTGCTAATACTGCAAATCGTTTAAAAAAGGAGATAGGTCTACTTAAACTGGAATTCCAAAAAGCTCTTTTCGAGTTTGACAGCATGAATCCAACTAGCAGACCAACTATACAAAAAAAGTAACTTTTAAAAGCTGGTTTATCTGCTACAATCATGATGAATGAACACATTCTTTCACAGTATGTGACACAAAGTATAAAAGCATTACACCAGTTTATGTGGCAGCTGGTACTGTGGTAACGTGGCATTCTTCCAGCCTTCCCTTCCCCTTTCCCCCAAGACCATGCCATCCCAGAACTCATCCTGGATAGTCAAGTAGTGAGAAGATCTTCCACCAGTAGGGATTCCCTTCCCTTCTCACTCCTTCCCTCAGTCTGGGACATCCAGAATCTACCTGGGCTGCTTGACTGCTCATAGTCTGGATGAAATGAGAATCCCCATCCTTCCAATAAGATAGAAGATCAGCAGGTTTTTCTACCTGACCTGCAGCCACATATTCAGGTCCTTCTAGTCTTATTATCTGCCTTGCTCTAACACTTTCCAGATTCCCCCCAACAGTATCACATAGTGTACTTACATAAACCTAGTGATCCTCTGGGTCTTGTTATTTGCCTCACAATAGCACCCATGGGACTTCCAAGCTTTTATATCCACCCTGTAGCTGAATTTTCTTTTATGTGTTGTCTCCTTTAGAATATGAGCACCTTGAAATAAGGGAATGTCTTGCTTTTTTCTATCCATATCCTCAACATTTAGATCTATGGCAGGTGCATAGTGACCATTTATTTAACACTTTTTTATGCATTAATTCATTCATGTTTAGAACCACAGAAATAAAGGAATGTGGATAATACCAAACATGACCATACAAGAAATGACTAGATCTACTGAAGCTCTATAGAAAGGCAGTAGAGGATTACATAAATATCTAGTTGGTTCTCACAATGGAAAACTTGCACATCAAACTGCCCAAATGTAAACAAAAAAAGAAACACATGGTATGGAATCAAAAAAACAAAATCATATCAGAAATTGTAGAGTCATTTAATCAGCAATTGGAAATAAAGTCAAAAGATTAGAGATATGAGTCAAAACAATGCAAAGAACAAAATAAATAATTGAACATCAATCAAAAACTTTACTACAGAAGATTTAGAACTAAGTAAAAAAAAAAATCAGAAACCAGGGAGAAACCCGAAAGGAAGATGTGCAGTTCTAACCCTCTTTTTGGTTAGAAGAAGTGAATTGGATCAAAAGTGAAACATCATTATAATGAAATAAAAAATGATTATATCAAGTGAGGTGACAAACTCTACTTTCTTTATAAAAATGGCAAGTGGCATGCCTAAGTAAATGCTTCACTGTGGTACATGAATTATTAGGAAAGCAATTTACTAGCTTCCTCTCTAATATAAGCTCAATTCCATTTTCCTTAACCAAAGACATTATGTATTTATTATGAAAGATGAGAATAATATTGATTCTTTCAAATATAGGCCAATTATGTATTTGCTAGAACCCTGGACTTGGGAGTCTAGGAGGCCTGAGTTAAAATCCTGCCTTAGACACTTATTAGCTGTGTGACCACAGACAAGTCATTTAACCTTTCTCAGACTCAGTTTTTTTTGTCTATAAAATGGAGGTAATAAGAGTACCTACTTCCCAGGGTTATATAAAAATCAAATGAGATAATATGTTAAAGGTTTTGCAAAACTTAGAGCATCATATGTAATTTTATTCTTTTTATCCTTCTTATATAATGCTTTCACAGTCTGTATTGCTAAAAAAAAAACAACCAAAAAAAAAAACAAAAAAAAAAAACCCCAATAACCCACAAACACAAATTAAAACTACATATTGGTAAAGGAGATAAAAATGGTATTTCAAAAAGACCCAAAGGAATTCATTATGGATTTGGTGATTACTGAACAAGTCACTCAAAAAAATCTGTAACATTTATGCTACCTTTATTGATTAGTACAAAACCTTTGATTCAGTTTCACACTCATGTTTAGTCATGCACTGCAAATATATAAAATAGATCCAAGCCTAGTGAGAATACTAGGATATCTGATGTCCACATGGAAAACTGTTGTCTATTTAAAGCATGCCACTACACAGTAAAGTAAAAAACAATTAATATAAAATGTGGCCTTTTTTGGGGACATAGTTTAAGCCTGCTGTGGTTCTGCATAGCCTTAAACCCACTATCATCACTCCTGAATAGAACTGAGCAAAGCCTTCAAGTCAAAGAGGAAGTTGTACCAAAATAGAATTTCAATCACTTGATATAAATGGATAACATCAAGGTATATGGCTCCACTCACTGAAAAACACACTAAATAGTAACTTCATCTGGTGGAAACTTTCTCCAAAGATATAAAAATATCATTTGGATTCAATAATTATAAAACTCTTCATGTGTGCCAAATAAGAATAAAGACTGAATACTTTGGGCTTGAATACGGATTGAAATCAAATTAATGGATCAAAGTAATACAAATACCTGGATTTTTCCAAGAATGGTGCACTGAGAATTACGCTAT